GTCGACTCGATACTTACTAGGGTCAATTAATATGAGAAAAGTTTATAATAAGCATGGATATCTCATGTTATTTACATTTAATAATCATGGAGTAACAGTTCTTTCCCAAAACACTAACAAGGATGCTTGTCTATAGTCTAAACAAATATGTAACTCAGCCCTTGAAGAATTTCTAAGAAAAATCATGCACAAACAATCACCGTGGGACGTACGACCCGGTCCAACACAAAATAAACTGCGCACTGCCAAGGGTCGACCGGCTCGAACCATAGATGCATCTATTACCTCGCTCGTGAATCACCCGTGCGACGCAGTCAAATAGAAAATAAGCTCATTAACAAGCAACAATAACAATTAATATATATATGAGGTGTAGCCATGCACAGAAATACCAAATATTCTCCTTTAAAATACCAAACAGGATAAAGGTCATTTTCTAGTCTCATTCTTCTTACTCAAATTAGTTCATACAAATCCGAATTAATCAACATGTACTAGAATATCACGTAGAGCATGCTTATGGGTCCTAGACTACCCGGACCTAACATAATAGTCGCTACGTACGGACTCTTGTCACCTAGTGCATACGTAGCCCCCGAATATAATGACGATTAATTCAATTATTATACCTATGGGGACAATTCCCTCTTACAAGGTTAGAAAGGAGACTCACCTCGCTCCAAAGTGCACTCCAAATGCCAAGAACAAGTCCAAGCCCTCAATTCGGAGTCAAACGATCCCAAACTAGTTAAACGAAGTAGGAACTAGTTATTATAGGCTCATAGGATCGACTTCTAGCTATTTAAGAAATTTTCCAACCATTATCACAAGTTTTCTAAAAATCCGACCCCGGGCCCACGTGCCCGGATTCCGAAATTTTTCGAAGGAAGTTGTTCTCTACAGCCTAAAGATCAATAATATATGATTTCTAATTAATTCCATAACAAATTTCGTGGTTAAATTCATGTTTTAGCAAAACCCTAGGTTTAGCTCTAATCCCTTTAATTTTGCCTAAGTTCTAGTATTTAATCTACCTAAAATTCAAGTATTAAACTAAGGATGGGTGGAACAAACTTACCTCTTGATGCTAAGTGAAAACCTTCTCTCTAAAGCTCCCAAATCTCCCAAAGGAGGAGTGAAAATGTAAAAGAAATGACTTAGAACCCGTCTTTAATGAACCTCACTGGTTCAGTGATTTCCGCTTCTGCGGTAAAGGGACCGCATCTGCGGTCCCGCATCTACGAGATTTCAACCGCATCTGCGGAAAGGGGGAGGGAAGGCTGGGACCGCATCTGCGGTTTGGGAGCCGCATCTACGGCCTGGGAGCCGCATCTGCGGTTCCTGGCTTGGCCCCCCTTGGGCCGCTTCTGCGATCAATGAACCGCATCTGCGGTCCAAGAGCCGCAGATGCGGTTATGACAGAAGCAGCAGTTCTTCAGCCCTCTTTCAAAATTTCCACTTCACTCGAGCCTCGTCCGATTGACGCTCGGGGCTCCCGGGCCCCGCCCAAACATACCGACAAATCTGAAATTACGAGACGGACCCACTCGAACCTTCGGAACCCCCAAAACATTGCTAAATCTAGAATTCACCCCCTAAAACCAAATGAATCAAATTTATGAACTTCAAGTTCTTAATTTTCCTCCAACGGGCCAAAACGCCCTAAATCCACTCGGGTTGACACCAAATTTTACGGGCAAGTCATAAATGATATTTCGGACCTGTACCAGGCTTCGGAACCAAAATACAAGCCCGATACCTAGGAAATCAATGATTACTTAGTTTCTTTAAATCCTTAAAACTTCAAATTAACAATTTCTAATAAATTCAATTCCGGGCATACGCCCAGGTCCCATATTATCCTACGGACCCTCCGGGACCGTCAAATCACGAATCCGGGTCCGTTTGCTCAAAATGTTGACCAAAGTCAAACTTAATCTTTTAAGAAAATCCTAAGGAATCAAATGGGCATATTTCACCCGAAACTCTTCCAAATCCCGAACCAACCATCCCAACAAGTCGTAAATTAGCTAAAGTAAGCGCGGGATGTTTTATTTAAGGGAACGGGGTTCAAAAAGGCAAAATGACCAGGCGAGTCGTTACACCCTGCATACATTCAGAGACTCTTCCATTATTTTGTATTCAAATTGTAACTTCCACTTCCTTGAATTATCACTGCAATCAAATAGCTTTTTTACTATAAGAAATTAAAATTATTAGGTGGGAAAAAGAACTTGGCTGATTCAAAATAGTTGATAAGCATCAAGTGAAACTAATTTTTTAAATGAACAGCTACATATTTGAATAGAAGTGTTGAAAGTAATTATAAACGATATATTGATGTAATTGGTGAAAAGTACTAATAACCACCTTTTTAGATAAAATGACTGAAACAACGCCCTTAAAGTTGTATACATTAAATATAAATTTAAGAGTATTTTTACATGAAAAATGAAAGAACGAGAAAATAGAACAAATTTAGGATAAAAAGTAAAAATATTGGTCAAACCAAAAAATGTTTATAAGTTGGGGTGACTAAAACGCCATTTTTTGATTGATTTCGACTTATAATTAAACACTTTTGGCATTTACCAATATGCATTTAAGTCAAAAACCAAGCTGACCAAACACCCTTCAAGAGAAAGTATTGTATTCACAAGTATGAGAGGGAGGTTACTTACACTAAATATGACACATAGGATCTCTAAACCTCCTTTGAGTATCCATTTTGATATATTTCTGCTAATGATAAAGCTCAAAATTGTAGACTGAAATGCTCCAAAAAAATGACATAATTGCAGTGCTTGAGTACTGATAAGGATAATCTTTGCTAATTCTAGCTTGTACAAGAAACCAAGCAGACCCCACAAAGCTACCTGCAAATAGAAATATTGAATCAAGAAACCAACTCTTTTTGCTATGATTTGTTTCAACTCCTGATGCTGATGGGTTTATCAATGGCATTCCTTTGTACAACAGCAATAACAACAACCCAGTATAATCCCACTTAATGGGGTCTGGGGAGGGTAGTGTGTACGCAGACCTTACCCTACCCTGGGGTAGAGAGGCTGTTTTCAAATAGACCCTCGGCATCCTTCCCTCCAAGAACTTCCCAACTTGCTCTTGGGGAGACTCGAACTCACAACCTCTTGGTTGGAAGTGGACGTTGCTTACCATCAGAGCAACCCCTGTTGTCTAATGGCATTCCATTGTACAAAGTGAGTATTAATGCTCCACCAAGACAGAATAGGATGCCTAATATCTTTGCTCTTCCACTCCTGCTTTTTAGTTTTATAGTTTCTTGCCTGGGAAAATTTTATCATTGAGGCATAAGTATGTAATTTTGTGACACAACTTTTCTTGCAATAATAAGATGTGATTGCATTCGTAACTTAAAATTGATTTCCAACTCTCTTTCTCTTTTTTTTTTTTTTTTTTTTTTTTTTTTTTTTTTTTGGTATTTAGATTCTCTTTCTTAGAGCATAAAGAATTTATATTAATAGTAACTTTAACTTTTCCTCTATAATTCACGTATTCAAGTATAAAAAAGCATCAGCGAGAATTCATCATGAGTTTTCAATGTTAAATACTTTAGCAAAAATACGTAGGCACTTCTCATGAACTTTCGCGAACGAAAGGTAATATAAGAGATATTTACATAAGAAATTAAATCTATTTGAATAAGTTGAATATCATAAGAAAATAACTAACTCAATTTCATGAATTCAAATAATCAGCGGTATAAAATAATTTGTGTATGAGGTGTGTGCTAAATTCAAATAATCATCGATCATGTGAAAACACATAGACATATATTAACTTTTTGAGGAAAATTGGTAGAAGTTAAACTTTATATTATTTAGTTGTCTTCATATTATTGTGTTCTATTGGTATCATAAGGGAAGTTAGATTGACAATAGGTGCTGTAAAAGAATATCGAAGTATACTCTTAGTTAAGACACCTAATAAATGAGATTTTTCATGTAATTATTACTATACAGAACTTGTTACACTTGGCACCCCTTACATGTATGGCCTTGTGCATGGATAGAGAAAGAAAACTCTTCAAGACGAAAACAAAAGTAGAAACAATTCACATAATGCTCAGTATTAATTAGAGAAATAGAACAATATTACATTTTGCTCGAGGGAAAGAACTAAACTTAAGTTGAATATATTGGAAGATGATTGAGGACTTTTATATGATAAAGTTTCTTGTTTTGTTGAGTTAGATATATATAGAATCAACATTAATAAACATCGTAAGCTTAAAATTTTATTCTATAACTCAAATACAAACATGTTTTAATATATATAATATTATGTAATTATTTTTTAAAAATAATTCTTATCGAGACACGCGCAAAGCACGTACCTAAGACTAGTATCTATAAAGAATTGTATGCATGCGTGCGTCATTTGAAGGATTAGTTGAGGAAACATGGGTTTACGTTATGTAATTAAGGAACTAGTGCTAAACATTTGCTATAGTTTTTAAAAAGGTATATAGTTATGTAAAGAACCCTTTTCTTTTACTAATAAGTGACTTTCTGTTATAAAAAATTGTATATTGGCTACTAATGATACTGTAAAACCCCAAAAAACTTTAGAAGACTTTGGGCCCATGAGTTGTCTGTCGAGAAAGGACTTTAGCCTAGCAGCAAATGAAAATAATAAAAGAATGAAAGAAAAGAAAATATTAAATAAAATTTTAAACTATTATAAAAATAAAGACTACAAAGTAAATGAAGTAGAGAAATGTATAAAATAAAGACTACAAAGTAAATTAATTGTTTTGACTCCTTATTTATAGAAGAAATGAATCTGCTTTAACGTTGATTCCTCTGGCATATTACTTGTGTAAGAGCTGGTTGAGAATAGGTGAAGACGCCAATGATCTTCGAAATCTTAGTTGCCTGCCTTTCACTGACTTCTTCATCTATGATAATGATGATCTTCTCGAGAATAGGCGCAGACGCCAGCACTAACCTTATAAATAGCTATTCCGCTCTTGAAGCATGAAATTTATGTATTTTCAGAGCTCGAAGGTTATTGAGTTCATCAATCCTGCAGCCTTGTGCTTTCAACTGATTTACATCAACTTTCCTGAAAACTTTCTTGATCCGACTCAACTATAAATAGTATAAAGAAAGAATAATAAGATTTGCATCTCTATACTCGAAAATGGAGTAATAACTCATGAATTCAACAACTCACCAGAAGGTTAAGCAACTTCAAATTGGGAGAACTTCTAAGGATGCATAGAAGGAAACAAATTTGATCTTCATCATTAAAATCGAAACCATGAAATTCGAGATTGACCAAGTTATTGAGCATAGTTGACAGCCTTCTTTCTAAATTACCACAAGCTAAAAACTAGACAACAAAACAACAAAAATAAGAACATTAATAGTTAGAGCTGTGTATGGTGTCATACTAAGATACGCAAAAATATCAATTGCCATCTTACCTTGAGGGAGCATTCGTCCAAGATAAGTGTTCCAATATTAGGCAATACGCTGAGAAGTTTTACCAAGTCCATTGCTTCATGTTGTCTGTTTTGTGAAACTTCTTGTTGTGGTATAACTGCATAAAATTTTACATTCCGGCAATCCTTGAAAGAAATCCATTTAATTGTTTCAATGTCACAATGGGAAAATTTTAAACTTAAAAGTTTTGGGGCATATATAGTCAAGGAGTGATGAAGACCACTACATTGCATAAACATCAGATTTAGAAGGCTTGGAACAGAGAGGAAAGAAGTTGCAACGTCTAATTCAAAGGCGACTCCAACAAATTCAAGGCTTTTGAGCTTGTGGAAACCTCCAAAACTGCAAGGCGGCCTGAAGATGCAACTTGACAGACTCAATTGTTCAAGTCACATAGGAAGGCAACTTATAAGGAGCATTCAAATTTCCTGGATTCTTGAGGGTGAGATCCACAAGACCATTTCTTGACAAATGTAACATCCATAGATCAATAACTGAGTGCTCGGAAGGATTTATTATTGAAAGATCAAGGAGAAATGTCTTAATGGGTCCATAGTGATGCAATAGTACTCTATTAATGATGTTTGTTATGCTTGATTGCTTTCCCTTTCTGCAGAAGTCCGCAAAAATAGTGAGCTTTGGATTTGAAGCCCAAATATGTCTCCATTTACTGGACAAGACACTCATTCTTGCGGCATCCTCAATAGTCATGTGCTCCTGAATTTGGTATTTGACATTAATAGGAAGATTTGTAAGTCTATTAAGTTTGTTCCTTCCATCTTGAAGTCTTTTATAGCTATTTGTCATCATGATTGTAAGTCCTGACCATTTGAACCAACAAAAATAAGTGAAGTAATTTGCATAGAAAATGCTTTATACATATTCAGCTTTATTGATCATTGACTTCATAGTGTTAGTATTGAAATTTCAAGATATTACGCTGACAAAGCATACCACAAAGATGGTAAATTAGACAATAAAAAATCATGCCAAAGGAAGTACAAAGATTGGTGTTGTTCACTCTAGTAGATTAACATCCATAGGCGGAGATGAACAATCCGCCATTCAAAAGAGAATATAAAAGCGAGTATAAAATATCAAGAAAATAACTTCACAGCATTCACTCCTGAATAGATACACTCAAGCGAATGCATATTATTTTTATTTTTTCTTAATGCTTATTATTTTCAATAAAAACGAACTATTCCCTTTGCTTCATTTTATTTGGTGGGGTTTGTCTAAAACAGAGTTAGTAATAACGTTTTTCACACATAAACTATATACATATAGCATACCAAAAATCAAATGTCAATGCCATTACACAGTTTACGGCAGAATTTATGTTTGCTGCTCTTGTTGAAAAGGCAGCCTTATGAGGATGGTGTTCTTTGGATAGACAATAGCTCATTTTTATATTTGGTTATTACATAAAGAGAGAAAAGTGGATTAATAAAAAAGGGAGACATCAAAGAGGAAAGAGAAGTTTCTCTTTAGGATATTAAAACACACTTGTCCAAGTTATATGTAAGTTTGATATATCTACAATCGTTGGTACTCTTGTTTTTTTTTTTTTTGGTTCAACAACAGTCAATAGTTGTCTTTCGACCCATTGATTCTATTCTTTTGTTTCATAACTTGGCAGAATGACACTAGAGGCGGATCCAATATTGGAACATTATTTGAAATTATAACAGAAACCGCTTAAATTTGCCGGAAATAAAATCAATTATTTACACTTATTTAATAAATTTTAATACGTAAATGGGGCATAAGTCAAAAATATTGGATTTTGATAAACCCATAAGTAAGAATCTACATTTCCCCCTGAGGTCGGTTATACTCTCATATAAAAATCTACATTGAAAAAATAGGTTTGAATTTCGAATTGATTTTTGTAAGAGTTTTGGGGTGAGTGTTGTTAAGACTTGTTGAGAATAATCTAAGGAGGATGTCTACCTAACTTGAAGTCATTTTGTGGAGATTTTGGACTAGTTTTGTACAATAATTGTAACTAAAAATATAGAAGAAGTTGATCACATGGCAAGCAATGTTTATACATTGCTATACAATTCATAAAAGTTTGATATATTTTTATAGACTCTTATATACTTTTATACAAGGGAGATAAATTGCCTATAAAGGTGTATAAATATTTTATAATAATATATAAGAGTGTATTTGCAAAAGAATGTTGGCTGTGCGGGTGTAAACTAAAATAATGGCTATGTGAGTGCAATGTGTTGTGTTGTGATATATACCTTTGAAAAGTTCTTATGTAACGACCCGACTGGTCGTTTTAGGTATCTGCACTTCGCTCGGTGTGTTGAGGGCTCGAGTAGCTCCGCATGATGTATGACTTGCGTAAATCATCAGTATTGGTTTTCAAGTTATCCGGAGTCGATTTGGGGGAAATGAACTTCAAGATTTAGGTCCTAAGATGGAAGAGTTGACCAAGTTTGACTTTTTGGCAATTGACCTCGGAATGCAGTTTCGTCAGTTCTGTTAGCTTCGTTGGTGATTTCGGACTTAGGAGCGCGTCCGAACTGTAATTTGGAGGCTTGTAGTGGAATTAGCCTTGAATTGGAGAAAGTTGGATTTTTGGGAAGTTTGACCGGGAGTGGACTTTCTGATATCGGGGTCGGATTCCGATTTCAAAAATCGGAATAGGTGGGTAATGCCAAATGTGACTTATATGCGAATTTTGAGGTCAATCGGAGGTGATTTGATAGGTTCCGGCGTCGGTTGTGGAAGTTGAAGTTTCAAAGTTCATTGATTTCGGCTTGAGGTGTGATTCATCGTTTCGAGGTTGTCACGTGTGATTTGAAGCTTCAAGTAGGTTCATCTTGTCATATGGAACTTGTTTGCAAAGGTTGGCGCCATTCAGAGTTGATTTGATAGGGTTCAGATGCTCAGTTGTGATTCTAGAAGTTCTTGAAGTTTTAGTTTGATTTTCACGAGTTTTGGCGTCCGATTCATGGTTTTAGAAGTTATTTTGGTGATTTGAGAGCGTGAGCGCGTTTGTATTATGTTTTAGACTTGTGTGCATATTTGGTTTGGAGCCCCGAGGGCTCGGGTGAGTTTCGGATTGGTTTCGGAATGTTCATGCATAGTTTGTAATTGTTGGTTCAGGTATTTTCGCATTTGCGAAGAATTGATCGCAAATGCGGCCATCGCAATTTCGAGAAAGCTCGCATTTGCGAAGCCTGGGCAACTGGGCAATTTTTTGCATTTGCGATGAACCAGCCGCATTTGCGAAGGCTGGTCTTAGCATTTGCGAAGGTTTTGTCGCAAATGCGACCTCAACAGGAAATCTTCAGGCATCGCAATTTCGATGCATTTTTTTGCAATTTCAGATTCGCAATTGTGAAACCCCTGTCACAAATGCGACATCTGCAGCCTGTTAAGTGCAGAGAATTCCGAGTTTTTCTTCACTTTTTCATATTTTTTAACCCTACCTTCGGAGTGACGCGATTTTTAGAGGGGATTTTCATGTCAATCATTGGGTAAGTATCTTTAATCAATATTCAACTATATTTTATGATTTTATACAAGATTTAATATCAAATTCATGGGAAAGCTATGGGAAAATTTGGGGATTTTGTCAAAGTTTTGAAAACTGAAAATTTGGGATTTGGGAGTCGAATAAGAGTCGGATTTTGAAACAAAATACATATTTGGACTCGTGAGGCCATGGGTAGTCAAGATCTACCTTGGACCCGGGTTTTGACAGGGTGGGCCCGAGGTTTGACTTTTTAGAAATTGAATAAAAATTATAGCTTTATTAATTGAGATTATTTTCTCTTGCATTGTGTGGTGTATTCAAGTTGTCATTGGCTAGATTGAGTCAAGCGCAGGCGAATTCGTAGAGGAAAAGGCTAAGTTGAGTGTTGAGTTGGCCGGATCGAGGTAAGTGTTTTGCCTAGCTTTGTTGAGGGAATTTTTCCTCCTATTTGTCATTATTTTCTACATGCGGGGGTGAAACATATATGATGTGATGAGCGTATATGTATGTGCTAGGGTTAACCATGCTCGGGGGGTGGATTATGTTATATTTGTGTTTGTAGCATTTTGTGACATTGCTTAATGCCTTCTTTGACTCATAGGTACTAAGGACATAATATTAAATGATAGATATCAAGACTTAGTTTGTTACAACTTGATCAAACTTGATGGAAATTGTAAGAATACATTGATGTGTCTAATTTGATCATCTATGTGAAATTATTACTACATTACTATAACCGATATTCTTGAGATGCTAGACTCTATACTTGTGTTGTGAATCAATTGTGAGATTCATGGAAAAACTTGAATAATACGATTCTTGAGGGTTGTTGAACCATTGTTGACTTGGAAAGTTGTGATTAGGAATTGTCTGGAATGTCCACTAAAACACTCTCCCTGATGTCTGTTATGCTTCCTGCTTTGTTTGTTATGGTTATATATATGCTTGTTAAGGAAGAGTGTAAAGCACGAAGGGCGATGCTGTGCCATTATTTAAAGATTATCATGTAAGGGAGAGTGTAAAGCACGAAGGATGATGCCGTTCCATTGTTTATACATCATGTGAGGAAGAGTGTAAAGTACGAAGGGTGATGTCGTGCCATATTATTGAGAGTAAAAGTACGAAGGGTGATGCCGTACCATATTATTGAGAGTAAAAGCACGAAGGGTGATGTTATGCCACATTATTGAGAGTAAAAGCACGAAGGGTGATGCCGTGCCATTATATTTATATTGTTATGCTTGTATGTTATGGTGAGGTCATGCCATGAAGGGTGTTTCCGTGCAGGTGAGGACGAGGGACATGCAGGTGAGGACGAGGGACATGCATTATTATGTGATATTTGTCTTCTTGTGTATACGGTTGTGCCCTTACTTGGAAATGTTATTGTTGTATTTACATATTCGGTGTGACTTGTTGTTATTGTCCTGTACTTGACTTATCTCAATTGTTGTTGCATTGTCCATGTCCTTTACTTGCTTAACTTGAAATTACCATGTCTATTTCTGATTTTATACTTATACTCATGTTGTATCTATTCTGTTGCACTTTAGTATAAGCCTTCTACCATGCTAGCCATTCATGCCTTTACTTGTTAACTTTTAAAGAACATGTATTTCTTCTTAATTTTTATATTTGTACTTAGGCCTCCAATATGCTAGTTAATTGAAGTTGATATTCCCTGTTTTTCAATTGTTGTTGTTACTCACGTGCTTTCCGCTTAGTCCATTACTGTGATCCACATGTGTTTACTTATCCACTGTTGTTACTGGCGTATTTCCTACTTAGTAATTTCTATTATTGTGTTCCTGTGATATGGTTGGTACTGTTATACGATTACTTGAAAAGGATGAGTTGAACGCACGAAGGGTGTTGCTGTGCTAATTGAATTGTTTCATAAATTTATTTATATATGGTGAGAATGAGATAAAAGCACGAAGGGTGTTACCGTGCCATGTGATTTGATATTTTGACATTTTAGACGTATATCTCATACCAGGGAAGATCGGAAATATTCTACTGTGGTTCTTTATAATATTCATTGTCTGATTCGCCGGGCTGTATTTGATACTTTTGTCCGTTATACATTGAACTGCTTTACTGTTAATCTAATATACAGATTATTTAAATAAGCATCTTTTAAATTAAAAGCCTCGTCACTATTTCGACGAGGTTAGATAAAATACTTATCAGTACATGGGGTCGGTTGTACTGATACTGTACTTCTGCACGTCCCGTGCAGATCTTAGAGCAGAGTTGCTGGTGATGTCGAGTGCTGATTTGGAAGATGTTCGTGCGTTTGGAT